CCTCTCTTGCCATGTACCTTACTCACCTGACTTCTCTCCATGTGATTTCTTTTTGTTTCCACAAATGCAGAGGGGCATGAAAGGACAGTGATTTGAAGATGTAAAAGAGGTTAAGAAAAAAGCGAGGAAGGTGCGGTCAGCCATCCAAACAGATGAGCTTGAAAAATGTTTCCAAGAATGGGATTGCAGGAAAGCACTTTGAAGGTGACAGGTTGTTTTGTAAAAAAAATTAAACACATACCTTTGGAAAAAAAATCTGTTTTGCTGGGGTACCCCCTCATAGTTCTGTTTCAGTGCCAAGATCTATGGTAAACACGATTAGATCTGCCCACTAATATTTTTGCAAAACCAAAATATGTAGATCAAATATCTACACAATGGAAAGTAAATATGCCTTAGCATTATTATGAAAATAAATTTGACATTGAGATTCCTCTAAATTGATTTAGGAAAACCCCAGCAGCCTACAGATTGCGCTTTCAGAACTGTTGCTTTAGTGAGAGTCTGCCTGCTATAAATACTAAATACCAATACTTATCCGGAAGCCTATTTATAGGAGTAAATGAAGACCAGAATAATTTTGAAGAACTCCAAGAAAAATACACGGTGACCTTAATCTCCAAAGTGTAAAGCCCTAGAGAAAAACTACACCTGACTATTTTGAACAGCATCTTGGGAATATAATAAATAATGGGAATAATGACAATATTTGTTGCAATGCTTTAGTACTGAGTGAGAACTGCGCTATGTACTCGAAGTGCATTATTCTTGAGCACCAACTCTGAGACACATACATTCTAGTAGCTTTCTAGATGTGGGGCACAGAGAGATGAGAGGTCACAGGTCACCTGCTCCAAGTGTTGGAATAGGCTATGAACTTTCCCAATCCAAGGACCACTGGAGCACAGTGTGTTATGTGTTGGGCTGCTAAGCAAAAAGTGGATGGCTGGAATTCACAAACATCTGCTCATGGGAGAGAGATGACGCAGTGTGCTTCCGTAGAAACAGTCTGGGGGCGGTTCTAGTCTGCCCGGTACGGTCACTGTGAGTTGGAATGGGCTTCATGGCAGGTTTTGGTTTGGATCCGATTCCAAATCTTGGATGTTTACCTTGTATTCTGTTTTGTCACACCTAAGCTCCAAAATTTATGTATTGCCTCTCATGAAGAACACCAAAATGTGTCATCTAAACCCCAGCATCCAGGAGGGCCCAATAAACTTCTTCTGAATGTGTGACCAAAGACAATGTGAATGAACTACCTTGCCAACTTTAAAGCATGATAGAAAGTAATCATAATAGTGAACTTCTCATCCACAAAAAAGTGAGATTCTCAGTAAATTTTGTCAATATTTAACTCAATAGATCCATTCAAGCCAGACCCACTGCCATTGAGTGGAACTACTGGGCTGTACATCTTCGCTGGAGCAGACGGTGCTGTCTTCTTCCTGTGGACTGGCTGCTGGTTAGCATAACCAGGGCTTCGTTAAGAGCCAACAAGGAAGACCAAAAACAGAAACAAAAACACCAAGTTCCTTGAAAGGTGTTGGAAATTTTTGCAAGCACTTGAGTATGTAGTTTCATGTTGTGTGAGTGAATGCAGATACACACACACACACACACACACACACACACACAAACACACCTCTTTCATGTTTACTAAATAGTGATAAATACGCTAGGTATGGTGAAAACAAAGCTGATTTACTTTCTTCAGGGCAACAAAACAAGTTTGGGGATGACTTCTCTACTAGGCTATACCATCCTAACACCTTACTCATTTCTACCGGTAAAGTTA